TCTCCCAAAGGGATAGGTCGACCAGTTCTCTCTTCCCGGTGTGGCCTCCACTGTGCTTCCTTGGCCTCTGGGAACTCACATTTCCTTTCTCTGTCCTTTTTTTAAATACTGCTTTTTAATTGAATTATCATAAAGGCAACATATGTCCATCTTAGAACATCAATACGATATGAAAAAGTGTAAAGAAGAAAATGAAAATAGCCTGGGTGGCTCAGTCGGTTAAGCATCCAACTTGGCTCAGGTCAGGTTTGTGGGTTCCAGCCCCGTGTTGGCCTCTGTGCTGACAGCTCAGAACCTGGAGCCTGCTTCAGATTACGTCTCTCCCTCTTTCTCTGCCTCTCCCCTGCTCTCTCTCTCTCTGTCTCAAAAATAAATAGACATTTTTAAAAAATAGCAGTCCAAGATCCAGTCGCTCAGAGAGAATCACTGTGAGTCTAGTTCTTTTCTTGTATACGTGTCTCAAGCACAATATTGTATCCACTTGACATTGCAGCCAATGTGTTGTCCTTTGCCATTAAAAGTCTTGGGGAACGTGACTTTAAGGACAGCACAACAATCTAAGTGGAGGTCTTGATCAAATACTGCCAGCATTTTGGGTGACAGCCCCTGGGGAACTTTCTAGAAAGGGACTCGCTGGGTCAAAGAGCATGGAAAGTTTTATTTTTTATTTATTGATTTGTATATTCTTTTTGAGCATGAAAAGTTTTAAGACTCTTGATCCATATGGATAAAGTGCTTCCTAACCCCGTTGTGCAGGTTGGCGGTCCCGTCTAAGATGGGGAGGGAATGGCAGCTGCCAGACCCAATCCACAGCCTCTGCAGGGGAACAAGGTGGCCCAGGCAGCCGCAGGGAGGGAAGAAGGGCCGGCACTGTCCAGCGCTGACATCGGCCCAGGCAGCGCCATGCTCCGTGCCATGCTCCAGACAAAGGATGTGGTACCTCTGGCCAGACACAGCCTGGGCAAGGCTGCCCTCCTGTTCCTGGAGCCAGAATCGCCCTTGAACCCTTGCTTTCGCACCTCATGTCCAGTTTGTCTGCAAGGGCTGTTGGGACTCCTTTCAGAATGTCCCCAACGTGCCTACTTCTCCCCACTCTGCCGCTATGACCTGGCCCACCTCTGCCTGGATAATCTCAGTAGCCTGGCATGGTGCCCCTGCCCACCCTCACTTCTTGCCTCATTAGAGTCTCTTCTCCACAGCAGCCAGAGAGATCTTTTTAAAACCTAGCCCAAACCAGGTCAACCCTCTGTTCAAAACCCTCCAGCGGCTCCTATCTCCCTGGGTTAAGAGCAAAGACCTTAAATGACTTATCAGGTCTTTAAGGATCTGTGCCTGCTCCACTCCCATGACCTCCCTGATCTCACTTCCTATCGCTCCTTCCCTCCCCTACTCAGCTCCCTGGTGCCCCTCTGAATACCCCATGCACACTCCTGCCTCAGGGCCTTTGCACTTGCTGTTCTCTCTGCACGGCATATTCCCTCAGATATCCACAGGCCTCCTCTGCTCACATGTCATCTCAAAAAACAACCACAAGCAAATATGGCCTATTTTGGAAAGGCCTTCCCTGACCACGCTGTCTAAAATTGCGCCCTGGCCACTCTTTGTTCTCTGACCCTGTGTCATGTTCCTTCAGGAGTAGCGCTCATTTACTTGATTATTGTCTGTTTTCCTCCTGGAAGAAAACCCCCAAGAGGGCCCCACTCTCTGCCTATTTTGTTCACTGCTGTATCCCCAGCACCTGCCGGACTGCCTGGTGCACAACATCCAATGGACGGACGATTGAATGAAAGATTTCACCATGTGTGTATGGGCGTGTTTTCACCTCTAGGCTGCTTCTCAGTCGCCAGCCTGTGGGCAGCGCCCAGCACAGAGTAATACCCCTGTCGTGCCTGCCGCCCAAATGAGTACACGAGGAGGGGAAGACACTCCAGGCAGCGCATGAAAGACCCCCTCACGGAGCCGGGAAACTGGAGTTCCCGATGAGCCCTTGCCACTCACAATCACTGAGGCCTTGGGCAAGTCACTTCACCTCTTGGGACCTTGATGTTGCCATCCATAAAATGGGCAGGATGATGCCGGTGCTTCAGGCATCACAGGCTGCTGTGAGTGTTCGCTGACGAATGTGGGTCAGCCAAGTATGAAGGCAGCCCGGCGCAGGCCCAGGCTGCCCCTCTGTGAGCCTCTGGCCCACACCCACCCTCGACCTACCTGGCGCTCCCACTCCCTTTGCTGAGCGCTCGCTCGCGGCCCCAGGTAGGTACGTAGATCCATGCGTGTGCACGGGGGCCCCGCTGGCTACCCGACTGCATGTCCCACAGCCCGTGTGCCCTGAAGGCCGGGGCCCGGGTTCCCCGTCTTCACACCCATCCACCGGGCAGCTGAGCAGTGCCCCTTGGACATCGGATAACTGACCAACAAACACATCTGTCGAAAGCTATAGGTGCGGTACTGTGCTATGAATGAATAAGGGCAGGGATTTCAGAGCTCACGGAGGACGGGTGTGAGGCAACCCGGCCAGGGGCTTTTTGGGGTGTGGGGCAGTCGGGCCCACTGGGGCCTCCAGGGCCTTGACCTGAGAGGAAGGGAAGGAGAAGCCAGGCCGTCTCCTCTCTGGGACAGTGGCTGGCCAGCGTTCGCCCCAGACATCTGCCACACCAGCCACATCTTCTGGGCCGCGGGGCGGAGGCCTGGCTCCCCAGCCCACATTCCTCGCCCTGTCTGCCCATGACCTCATCCTGGCCCCGCAGCCGCCCACGGGGCAGGAGGCTGTGCCCCACTTTGCGGATGAGGAAATGGAGGCTCACGGAAATCGCTGCCCTGCCCTGGGTCGGTCGGTCACCCATCCCGGGCTCTGGCAGGGGCTCTGGTGAGCCCCAGGCTCCAATGGGACAGGTGGGGCTGCTCAGGAAGACCCCTTCACGCTGTCCGGTCAGGTTTTAAAAGCCCCATTGGTACTGTCCACACACTTAATAAACTCTGATCAGCGTGTTGATTGGCTCTTCCTAGGTGCCCAGCGCAGGGGCGGGGCAGTGCGGGGAGGGTCCAGCCAGGCGCAACTGCCTTCCCTCTGCAGGCTCAGTGACCCAGACCGGGCTAGCTGACACACAGGCCCTGCCACGCAAGGAGCGAAACTCTTTAGGAAGAAGTCTTGGAGCCAAGGTTGAGAAACGCGGTCTGGCCGCAGCCTCGGGGTGAGGGAGCCCAGGTGAGCCGACTCAGTCCTCAGGAATGGGTGGCGTCTGAAGGGGAGGCGGGCGCTTCCTCAGGCCCCAGCCCAGGGTCCTGGTTCAGTCCTTATTGGGGAGTTTCCTGGCGACAGGCAGTGACCTGCCGGCTGCCCGTGTGGGAGGCCGCTTGGCGTGGCCCTCACCGTCTCATTAGCGGTGATTCACCAGGACTCACCTGGCTGTCAGGGACCTGTCCCGCAGCCCGCCAGAACCAGCTCGGCCTGCACCCTCGGAGGGGCAGACACCTTGTTCCCCCAGCCCTCTGTCCTCTCTGGCACCCGAGGCAGAGCCTGCCTGGCACGCACACAGAGCTCAGAATTCATTCATTCTACCAGCAGATCCTGACTGAGCGCCTACTGTATGCCCAACGCGGTGCTTGGCGCTGGGGATACGGAGTGAACCAGGCAGACCGAGTCCCTGCCCTCCTGGAACCCACAGTCTCGTGGGGAAAGACCGACGGTACACAAATAAATAAGTGAATCATACAAGCTCTTGAGGAGGGTGAGTGTGACCTAGGAAAACAGGGAAGACTGTGAGATGAGGTTGCAGTTTTTTAGGTTTTATTTTTTTTTTAAGATTAAAACAGTTATTTTTAATGTTTATTTTTGCAAGAGAGCGACAGAGTGCGAGTGGAGGAGGGGCAGAGAGAGAGAGACGGAGACACAGAATCCGAAGCAGGCTCCAGGCTCTGAGCTGTCAACACAGAGCCCAGTGCAGGGCTCGAACCCACAAACCGGGAGATCATGACCTGAATCAAAGTCGGTCACTTTACCGACTGAGCCACCCAGGTGCCCCAATTTAAAAAAAAAAATTTTTAATAATTTTTTAAAAATGTTTATTTACTTTTGAGAAAAAGAGCAAGCAGGGGAGGGGCAGAGGGAGAGGGGCACAGAGGATCCTAAGCGGGCTCTGCGCCGAGAGCACACAGACCAATTCAGGGCTTGAACTCACGAACCGTGAGATCATGACCTGAGCCAAAGTTGGACGGACGCTTGGCCGACTGAGCCACCCAGGACCCCGTCCCAAGATTTTATTTTCAAGTAACCTCTACACTCAAGATGGGGCTCAAACTTACAACCCTGAGAGTAAGAGTTGCATATTCTACCGATTGAGCCGGCCTGGTGCCCCAGAGGTTGCAGTTTTACATGGGGTATTCTGGTGGACCTCTCGGAGATGATATTCAAGCAAACTCTAATGGAAATGAAGAGAAGGAAGGTATACCAGGAATAGCAAGTGCAAGGGACCTGGGGTAGGAATGTTGGGGGTAGGGGACATATTGAAGGAATTCCCAGGAGACCAGTGTAGCTAAAGCAGTTGGCCAAAGGGAGAGCAGTGGAAGAGAGGGTCAAAGAGGTAGGGGCTAGTTCAGCCTGTGCAGGGTTTTATAGGCCTTTACAGGCCTTTACTCAACCGAATTCTGTAAAAGTGCTCCAGCTCCCTATCCCCACCCCACCCCCTACTTGCCAATTGAACCCAAGACCAGCTTGTCAGGCTTCTCCCGCCTGACTCAGAACCCAGGGAGCTAGGTGAAGGGTCAGGGGTGTTTCCACTGGGGAGGGACTAGAAAGATGAGTTTGCAGAGCAGAGGGCTTCTGCTTGTGGAGGCCGTGTAAAGAGGAGGATGTCTGGGAAACAAGTACCCACTGCAGAGGGATGTCGTAGGGAAACGAAGAGAAGGGGGTAAAGGTCAAAAAAGAAAGGGGGGGGGCAAATTTGCCCAGTTGCCTGCCCCCCCCCCCAAAGCCTGTCTTTCTAGACTCAAAGGGAACGTACCTCATCTGACACTCTGCTACAACTTCTCTCTGACCTCTGGACCTTTGCACATGCTATTCTCTGTCTGGGAATCCTCGACATCCTTTGCTGGTGATTGATGCCCACCGCTTCCCCCATGGGCCCAGCACACCCCCTAGATGAAGCATTTTCACACTGGGCTGTATCTTCCCACTGAGGGACAATGCTTCTCTGTGACACCATGGCCACGGACCACACTGGGCTTTGCTCACTAAAGGTGAGCCCACCAGAGGAGGTGCTGAAACAGAAGAGTGAATGAACTAATGCTCGCCAGGATTTGGATCCCTCAGAGGTTTGGGAACAGACTGACAAGATCTGATTCACATTTTAGGAAGATGACTCTGACTCAGTTTGTGATGGGGGTGGGGGGGAATTGGAGGAGGGTGACGGCTTACAGGCTACTGCAGTCGTCCAAGGAGGGGCAAGAGAGAGGTGAGGAAGGACAGAACCAGTATGTCAGCTGCTAGGCGTGACAGGAGGGGCCAGCCCTAGGAGGTTTTTAAGAGGGACATCAACACCAGCCCTGGGCGGGGGGGGGGGGGGGGGGGGGGGGGGGGGGGGGGGGGGGGGGGGGGGGGGGTGGGGGGGGCGGGGTTGATGAGGAAGAGGGAGCAGAAGGCGGCATCCACCTTTCCCTGTTTCTGTGTGTCCTTCCCTGTATCTGGTCCACAGAGAGATACTACTTCGTTAGATACAATATAGCACAGTGGTCATGAGCCTGACTCTGGGTTCAAGTCCTATCTCCACCACCTTCTTGCTATGCGATACTGGCTTACTCGACCTCCCTGTTCCTCAGTTTACCCATCTATAAAGCAAGGGTGACAACTGAGAATTAGTTACTGCATTTTGTCGATTCTAAGATTCCTCTTTTAACATTTCTGGAATCAGAGTGAGTCTTAAAATCAATGCCATGCCATGGATTAATTGGCAGCGATTTTTTTTTTTAAAGTAACCTCAGTACTGAAACTCACAACCCCGAGATCAAGAGTCACACGCTCTGCTGGCTGAGCCAACCGGGCGCCCTAATTGGCAGCATTCCTTAGTGGCACATTAAATAATTGTACATCTGAAGACCGATGGAGCCTTCGATATGATGAAACACAAAAATACACGGAGAGTCCAGCACCTGGCCTGTCACAAGGGCTAAATAAGTGTAAGCGATTGTTACCACTGTCATCATCTGCTTTCTGGAATTCTGTTCATCGCAGTAATAAGTGCTCCATCGGAATAAAGAGACTTCATAAATAGATGTAAAGGTGAAAATTTTTTAGTAGTTTCCCCCAGAAAAACACCCAAAGTCTGATACTTCCTCTGAAAGATCCCATAGAATTCTGCCAAAGTTCCAGAGAAAACTTCAGAAATTCCTCCTTTACCATGGGGACCAGAGCGCCTGGCTCCCTGACCGGCAGGGGGAACCAGGGCATGCCCCCAGATGACTTCGGGGGTGTTCCCTGTGTCCTTGTGAATTTTCCTGAGTCACCATTACTCACTGCCCACAATCGGGGCTCTGCTACCTTCCAACCAGGAGACTGATGCTCTGGGATCAAGGGCTGTCCTTCAACAAAAGTGTGATTATAGAGTGTCCCGCATGGGCCGTAAACCGTCTGCAGCTCAGGAGAGCGGGGTGACCCTCGCCGGTGTCTTATTTTTGGCTTCCCGGGTTGTGTTCCTGCCTACTGACTTGGCAAATCCTGGGCGACTCGCCTTGTTTTCTCTCCTCACTTAAATACATGTCTGGAAAAAGCCTCCGCCCCCACAGACACTGCTGTGTGTGGAAAATGGTGACAGGCCTGATGGGGGAGGAGAAACCAGGCGGCTGATGCCTGGAGCCTCCCTCTCACTGAGGGGGGAGGGTTGGCTCAGCTGCTGGGGTTAGCCACACTCCCAGGCCAGTTCTCATTCTCTCCTCCTCTGCCTAGTTAACAAGAGACCCTCTCGGCCACTGACACCGCGTATGCAAAGTTCTCTGGTTTGCACCTGGGGTCGGGAGGCTGTCACCCTGAAAACACAGGGACCCGGTGACCCCCAGGCAGCGCGCACGTGCTGGATGGCAAGGGGCTGGATAAAGGCACTCTGGAGCCCCCAGACCACATGCCTGCTCCTGCCAGCTCTCCGCCAGTTGGGGGGGCAGGACAGCCCCCCAGGGGAAACGAGGGACCAAGCAACCAGTGGTGGGTCTCTGTGGAGGCCCTCTGGACAGGACAGTCAACTGCCCTCTCTCTGGATCCCCAGACACCCGTCCAACGGTCACCCATCTTCATTCCAGAATGCTAACCCTGCACACAGCCGCCCGTTCGTGGGTTCTATTGGATCTCTGCTCCGGGCTGGGGAGACGCCAGGCTGGTTTCAAAGCCTCAAGATCCTCCATCCCAACCCTCCCGTTCACACGGGGAAGACGGGACTGACGAAGAGGAGTGCGGGGCTCCGACAGGAGTCCAGCAAAGCAGGTGGCATCTAAAGGGGGCCGGAAGCCATGCTGCCTCTCCATCAGCTCCACTGGGCCGTCGTCAGAAACTCTTTATTTTACGCAAAGGCGCTCTGCACATTCAGCTCCAAGACTCTGCCTCTGTGGAGAACCCTGTGGCCAGCCCTCCCCACTCCAGGTCTGGATTGAAAGGAGCTGCTTCCTTGTCTGTCTTATTTTTTAAAGTATAGCTTCCAGAAGGCGGGGCTGCGTCTAATTCATCCTTGATCGCCTGTCCCCAGCGCAGCCGGCACAGAGTAGGCCTGTCGTGTGCCTATTAAATCAGAGCACTAGTACTCAGGGCCCAGCACTCACCCATGCCTGTGTCAGCCTGAGGGGACAGGCATTCTCATTTCCACTTATCAGCCTCATTTAAAACAAATGTTTATTTATTTATTTTGAGAGAGAGAGAGAAAGCAGGGGAGGGGCAGAGAGAGAGGGAGAGAGAGAATCCCAAGCAGGCTCCACCCTGTCAGCACAGAGCCCTGTGAGGGGCTTGATGAGGGCCTTGAATTCACAAACCGTGAGATCATGACTTGAGCCAAAATCAAGAGCCGGATGCTCAACGGACTGAGCTACCCAGGCGCCCTTATCATCCCCATTTTAAAGATGAGTAGACTGAAGCCCAGGGAGGTAAACTGCCTTGTCTGTGGTCCCACGGTTAATGGGTAGTGGATCTGGGCTTTTAATCAACGTCAACCCCCAGAGCCTTCGTTCTTGAGCACTGTGTCATACTGTGTGCTTAGAAGGTACTTCACAAAGCCCCTGGCATACAGAGGGTGCTTAATAAACAGTAGCCATTTGATACACAGCACTGATCTCACAACAACTCATTGAGGTAGCATTTTTCTTCCCATTTGATTTTATTTTTTTAAGTAATCTGTACACCCAACATGGGCTCAAACTCCCAACCCCGTGATCAAGAGTCTCGTGCTCTACTGCCAGCAGCAGCCAGGTGCCCCACCCCTCAGCCCGCCGCCCTTTTTTTTAAGTGATCCTATTTTAAGGATAAGGAAAAACCAAGACTCCAAGAACTTCCATAACTGGCCCAAGCCCACACATTTAGTAAGCGGTGGAGCCGGTTGGGTTTGAACCCGAATCTTATCTCACTTTACAAGTCAAGTGCTGACCACTGCACACAGCATCTCTTTTTTGGAAAATGCTGCTGGCTCCACTCAACCGAACAGCCGCTTGTATTCTCTTTCTGCAGGCCCCACATCTGGAATTTTCTCTTCTTTGTCTCTTCTGGCCAGCACCTGAGCTTTCCATCCAGCTTCCCAGACAAGGCGTCCTCCTGAAGCTGAGCAGCGCCCCCAGTGCAGGCCGCCTCTTTATTTGGCCCCCAGTCATGCCTCCAGGCCCTGCAAAGTTCGTTCAACAGCGCCAAACAGCCTTGGCTTTGAACTTGTCAACAATTTCTTCTCCAAATGTAACCTTGGGAGAGATGTCAGGAGGAAGATAACAACAGCGAGAGGCTATTGAGAAGGGTGACAGGGGCTGCATGAGGTGATCTGCCCTCCCCGCCCTCACCCCTACCCCCTCTCCCCAAGGGTACCTTTATTCCTCCGCGGCATCTTTTGAGCCTAAGCAAAAACAGTGGCAGACTTGGCCTGTCTTTGCAGCTCATGTGTGCACCTGTCCAGCCACAGGCCACGGGGGACAGCTCTCAGCAGGGCAAAAGCATCGGGGTCCCTGCCCAACATTGCCTGGCTCTCCAAGGATTGCAGAGAAAACACACTCCTTTGACCAAATACGGAGTCAATCGAGTAATCAGACTCAACAGAGACACTGCAGAAGCAGTAAGAGATTATAATAGTTCTACAAAGACATCTTGTTTATTCACATCCATTACGATGGCTACTCTTAAAAAAAAAAAAAAAAAAAGAAGGTAACAAGCATTGGCAAGGACATGGAGAAGTTGGAACCATGAGCACCTTTGGCGAGACTGTGAAACGGTGCACCCACCAGGGAAAACAGAGGGTCCTCAAACAGTAAAAAACAGAACTACCGTATGATCCAGCAATCCTACTTCTGGGTATATGTTTGAAGGAATTGAAAGCAGGGTCTCAAAGTGACATTTGCATACCCATGCTCATTGCAGTGTTAGCCACAATTCCACCAAGGTCATCTAAATGCCCACCAAGGATCAAGGGACAGGGCACCTGGGTGGCTCAGTTGGTTAAGCGTCCAACTCTTGGTTTCGGCTCTGGTCATGATCTTGAGATCTATGGGTTGGAGCCCCACACTGGGCTCTGTGCTGACAGCACGGAGTCTGCTTGGGATTCTGTCTCCCTCTCTTTCTGCCCGTTCCCTGCTCCTGATCTGTCTCTCTCTCTCTCACTCACTCTCAAAAATAAATAAATAGAGGCCCCTGGGTGACTCAGTCGGTTAAGCATCTGCCTTCCGCTCAGGTCATGATCTCACAGTTCGTGAGTTCAAGCCCCCCATCGGGCTCTGTGCTGACAACTCAGAGCCTGGAGCCAGCTTTGGATTCTGTGTCTCCCTCTCTCTCTGCCCCCTCTATCTCTGAGCGTGCCCACTCACACTCTATCTCTGTCTCTTAAAAATAAATAAACATGAAAAAAAATTTTTTAAATAAATAAGCATTTGAAAAAAAGGATGAATGGATAAACAAAATGTAGTCTATCCATACAATGGAATATTACTCAGCCTTAAAAAAGGAAGGAAATTCTGCTACATGCTACAACATAGAATAACCTTCAGGACATTATGCTAAAACATAAACCAGACACAGAGAGACAAATACCACATGATTCCATTTATAGAAGGTATCTAAAGTGGTCAAGATCATAGAAACAGAAAGTAGAATGGTGGTTACCAGAGGTCTAAGGGGCAGGGGGATGAGGAATTGTTATTTAATGGGTAGAAAGTTTCAGTTTTGCAAGATAAAAAAGTTCTAGAGATTTATTGCATAATAATGTGAATATACTTAACACTACTGAACTATATACTTACAAATGGTTAAGAGAGTACGTTTTATGTGTTTGTTTTTTTTTTTACCATAATTAAAAATAAATTAAAAGCCAGGGGAAACTTGTCCATTTCCTCACTTCAGAGATTTATGATACTGACCGAGCTAGGCACTTTATATACATTGTTTTAGTCGTCACCTGGACTTAAAGTAGCCGGCATCACTATTTCTTTTCCATGGCCTGGGAAGTTGTGGCCCAGGGAAAGAAGTGGCGTCATCCACTCCCTTGGAATTTGCTGAGGGGAGGAGCCCAATTTGTACCCAGCTTTGTCTGCCTCCAAATTGGGGTTCTTGTCGCTTCCAATTCACCGCCAGATGAGTGTCTCCACATTCAAGCAGCGAGTCATTGACAGAAAGAAGATATTTATTTATTTATTTATTTATTTATTTACTTATTTATTTATTTTGAGAGAGAGGTTGGAGTGAGGAAGAAGAGTAGAGGGGAAGAGAGAGAATCTTTTTATAAAATAGTTTCTTTTTACTTTTATTATAATACATATATATTTTTTAAATTTTAATGCTTATTTATTTTTGAGAGAGAGAGACAGAGTGCAATCAGGGGATGGGAAGAGAGAGAGAGAGAGACAGAATCTGAAGCAGGCTCCAGACCTGAGCTGTCAGCACAGAGCCCGATGCGGGGCTCAAACTCATCAACCATGAGATCGTGACCTGAGCCAAAGTCGGACACTTAACTGAGCCACCCAGGTGCCCCTGTTATTATATTTTTTTAATTTATGTTGAAGAGAAAGAATGAGAGAGAGCGTGAGCAGGGGAAGGGCAGAGAGAGGAGGACAAACACTCCTAAGCAGGCTTTGGGCTGACATCAGAGAACCCCATGTGGGGTTCGAACTCAAGAACCGCAAGATCATGACCTGAGCTGAAGTTGGAGGCTTAACCGACTAAGCCACCCAGGTGCCCCGAGACAGAGAGGGGAGCGATGGTGGGGAGAATTCCAAGCAGGCTCCACACTCAGCACTGAGCCCCATGTGGGCTGGGATCATGACCTGAGCCAAAATCAAAAGTCGGACACTCAACAGACTGAGCCACCCAGGCGCCCCCAGAAAGAAGACAGGCTTTTAATATGACTGTTCCATTTCCCCAAATTGAGCAGAAGTTCCTTGGTGATAAGTTACTTGAATCTTCTACTTCTTGATCTGCTAGGGGAATTAAGTCAAGTACTGGGCACACATAGTTAGTAGGTAACAAACACTTGAGAACTAGTGGATTTTTTAAAACATCTCCCAGCGCCAGAACAGGTTTTCACGGAAAATACCACTTAAGCACTTTCAGCTCAGAAAGCATTTTCACATATATTAACCTCTTTGCTCTGAGTGGAATCCTTGGGTAAAAGAGTTCCTTATGGTCTCCATTTTACAGAGAAGGGAAACACGGCTCAGAGGGCCATGTTCAAGGTCCCACAGCTGGGACTGCAATTTCTGGAGGCATCCAGGGGTGTCTGTTGTTCTCGTGCTATGCTCACCTGCTGATAGAAAGACTGGGCCTTGACCGTCAAGGCCAAATAAGCTCCAGGAAGTCCATGTGAAGGCTGGATGTGCCTTTCTTGAGATTGCAGTCGTAACATCAATACTCAGCCAGGTACCATGTGCCAGTGAGTGAAAGGCTGGGCATTCCCAGCCCCAGGAAAGGGCCGGTCGGACAGGGGTCAGGCCGGAGTCCAGCTAAGCAGGGAGGCGGGGCAGCTGGCTCAGGGGAGGGAGGCACAAAGAGGCCAAGCTTGGGGAGCTAGCTAAGGCCACCACATCGATAATAGCCAACCGGGTCTGCCACCCAGGGGTCAGAGATTGTCCAGAGGAGCTGGAGTGGACAGATCAGAGGACCAGTGCTGCCTGTTCTCTGCCCTATTTTCCACTCCCTTGCCAAGTGTGAGCAGCTGCAAGCCCCAGGATTCTGATCCTCTGTTGAGGGCAGTCGTTGGCCTGCGGGGTCGGGGATGGGGGTAGAGGGATGGCCACCCAGTGACCAATCACATCGTTAGGACTTTTTCTCCTCCTGACAAAAGCATCTTGTGTTCACCACAAAAATACTGAGGACTAGGGGCACCTGGGTGGCTCAGTCGGTTAAGCTGAGGTCATGATCTTGTGGTTCTTGAGTTCGAGCCCCACATCGGGCTCTGTGCTGTCGGTGCAGGACTCACTTTGGATCCTCTGTCCCCCTCTCTCTACCTCTTCCCCATTTGTGTGCACACTCTCTCTCTCAAAAATAAATGAACATTAAAAAATATATGTTGGGGCACCTGGGTGGCTCAGCTGGTAAAGCATCCAACTTCGGCTCAGGTCATGATCTCACAGTTCGTAGGTTCGAGTCCCGTGTCAGGCTCTGTGCTGACAGCTAGCTCGGAGCCTGGAGACTGCTTCTGATTCTGTGTCTCCTTCTCTCTCTGTCTCTCCCCTGCTCATGCTCTGTCTCTCTCTCATAAATAAATAAACATTAAAAAAATTTTTTTAAATAAAAAAATTATTGAGAGCTACCCAAAAACCACATATGCACACAATAAAAATCACCTATAATGCTCTGTTTTTGAACTGTTAAGGACAAAAGTTAAAAAGCAAATGCCCTCAGCTTCCCCCCCTAACTCTCCCCTCCCCCCCACACCCAAGGTCATCAAAATGGTGGCAGCTTCATAGAACTTAGTAAGGCTCCTTCCCTCCCATTTTCTTTCCCTTGGAGGGATGGATTTTCCGAGGAAGGAAGCAAGAACTCAGTCACTGTTTTCAATGACAACACAAATGCAAATTTCCCTCTAATGTTGATAACAAGGCACTCTGTCTGGGAAGGGTCCCGGCTCTGTCCACTCTGAACACATGTACCCTCCTCCCCCTCCCCGACCCCTCCAGCCGCCCTTACAACCTCCCCGTGCAGGAAACCAGAGGAGGCGGCTCTGGGCTTTGACCTCAAGGCAGCCAGGAGGCTTTGGTGCCCTCCAAACACCTATTAGAGCACTGACACTGGAAATCCCACCATTTGAAGGTCATAATGTTAACGGAAGACTTCATTTTCCCTGAAAATACAACTCCCTCATGGGAACTATGAATCTTTTAAAAGCATGGAATAGACAATATGTTGCAAGCTTTTTTTCCTGAGGACGGAGTTTAGGGGGTTTTTGTTGTTTTGGTTTGGCTTTTGAGACAGAGAGAGAGAGCATGTGCCTGCATGTGAGCAGGGATGCGGGGTAGGTAGGGGCACAGAGAGAGAGAGAGAGAGAGAGAGAGAGAGAGAGAGAATCTTAAGCATAATCCACGCTCATCTTGGAGACCGACGCAGGGGTTCATCCCACCACGACCCTGGGATTGTGACCTGAGCCGCTGAGTGAAACCAAGAGCTAGACACTCGACCAAATGAGCCACCAGGTGCCCCCGGGTGCTGTTTTTGTTTAATGATAGTTACGGTTTTCTTTCCTGATTATAAAATAACGCATTTGTTGTAGAAAAGGTAGAAGAAAAGAACATAAATAAGAAAACAAAATAAGTCATATCACGACTAACATTTTTTATATAAAATTCTTCTAGGGGCACCTGGGTGGCTCAGTCAGTTGAATGTTCAATTATTGGTTTCTGCTCAGGTCATGATTTCACCTTTGTGGGGTTGGGCCCCATGTTGGGCTCTGCACGGAGTGTGGAGCCTGCTTAGGATTCTCCTCTCCCTCTCTCTCTCTCTGACCCTCCCCTACTCACAGGCTCTCTCTCTCTCTCCCTCAAAATAAATAAACATTAAAAAAGTAATAAAATAAAAATCTACGTTTTTCTATGTAAATTATATACGTCTAGATAAATACACACAAACACGTTTGCACACAGACATATAAAGAATCCCAAATTGGCATTAAAACAATTTTTTAATGTTTATTTTTGAGAGAAAGAGAGCACAGCAGGGGAGCGGCAGAGAGAGATGGAGACAGAGAATCCCAAGGAGGATCCAGGCTCTAAGCTAGCAGCACAGAGCCCAGCGTGGGCTTGAACCCACAAACCATGAGATCATGGACCTGAGCCAAAGCTGGACACT